TTTTAAAAGACAGAGCATAAATAAAAGCATTTTAGTGGGGACCAATTGGAAAGGGGTCTGAAGTATTTCCTTGAGCTGGATATTGGTGTCACTTGACCCAGCATCTTCAGTCCTCAGTGGGTACCCAGAAGCCACACATACGCGCGTGCACACACACACACACACACACACGACTCCCCAAGAGCACCTCAACAGTGCTGCTTACAGTAAACCGCATGTAGGATCACGGGGTGAGAGGTAAATTCTTGCATGGTGGGAGTCACCCACGTCTAGGGATGTCTCTGGGTAACTTTTAGCACAATAACGTGACATGCAAAACCTACACGCCCCAGGTCTTTTATCCCAGGTCTTTTATAAAGACCGAGAACCAGTGAGAGCTATTTTCTTAGCAGCAGAAGAATCCTCGCCCAGGCTCTATGGGGGAAGGGCCAGGCCTGCGCCATATGTCAGAGCTGGGTGTTGGTTTATGTAATGGCTCCACAAAGGTCACAAATAGGAAAAGACCCAACACCAAGTACTGATTAGATCCTGCCGCTATTGTGTGTCAGGTCCCATAGCAGGGTGGGGAAGCCTAAGAGCCTGCCCCGGGAGCCAGGCAGAGACTAGACCCCCCTTAGGAGAGGCTGGAGGAAATTTTTCAAATATAGCAGCTGCCTTAGGAGGGGCCAGCCTCAAACTCAGTGTTCACACCTAGGGAACCATTGCTAAACTACTGCATCTTTTTATTTCTGGATGATACATACCAAGTAAGTAAGGAGATATGTTCCTTGGGTTAAAAGAGAGAATGTTACATATATACATTTTGTTTTACTTTATATCTGCACAATGCTCATGAACTATGAGTATATTCTGAGAGGAACAGTTTGTCCTTGTATTTAAGATGAACACTATCACTTTTGGCTGGCCCGGGTCACAGCACATTGGAGGCAGCCTGAGACTGTGCTCAGAAAAGCCTGCTCATTAGCATTCGGGGGCTGGATTCATGAGGAGCTGTAAATCTGAGGCTACTGACAGTTAATCTCACACTCCGTGAGCTTCCAGACCCAGAGCTGGAAGGAATGTGGTCCCTGGAGATCCAGTCCCAACCTCCAGGAACAAACGAGACCACGGAGTTTGTCTGAGCCAACAGGGAAGATGCCACCAGCAGCCTTATCCTGACTGCACCCCACTGTGGGCACAGAGTAGGGCACTCCAACCAGGATGTATCACCAACCGGGGGTTTATTCCAGCCAAGCAGATGGGCTAATCAGGGAGGGAAGGAGCTCTCTATTAGAGGTTCAGGGGACAAGACCACCCCTGAAAATTGAACTACCTTCATGATGCCTCCAACACAAAAGGAACTGGACATTTTGAAGGAAACAAGGAAAAAAACATCTGTGACTTAGAACAAGCCAGTGTTTTCTTTGGCCACACATCAAAAAGTTCACTACTAAAAAGTTGATACTTTTTTTAATGTGTGTGTATGTGTGTGTGTGTGTGTGTGTGAGTGCGCACACACATTCATGTTTATACGTGTGCAGGCACACACATGTGTACATACATGTAGGAGCCCAGAGGTTGACATTTGGTTCCTCCTCCATCACTGTCTACTTTATATGTTGAGGAAGGGTCTCTAATTGAACCCAGGGCTCCCAGATTCAGTCTAGCTAGTCAGCTTGCTCTGGGGATCCCTGTCTCTGACTTCCATCTTTAGAGGCCTCAAGAAGGTTGTCACACCAACTCAGTATTTATGTGGGAGCTGGGCTTGGAAACTCCAGTCCTAACTGTTATGTTTCAAACCGGGACAAAAGGTTGAGGTGCCATTTTTGTTTGTTTGTTTTTTAGGTTTTCCTATACAGGGTTTCTCTGTAACAATCCTGGCTGTCCTGTTAACTCGCTTTGTAGACCAGGCTGGCCTCAAACTCTCTAAGATCCATCTGTCTCTGCCTCCCTAGTGCTGGGTTAAGGAAGCCACCACTGCTCCAGCCCCCAGAAGTTGATTTAACACATCAAAGCAGACCTGGTGGCCAGGTTGTCCCTGCATCTCTCAGTCTCTGCCTGTTACAGGGCCCTCCTAGCTGGCGTGCCCTGCCCCCTACCCTGAGCTCTCCAGCCCAGGGGATTGGGCTGGTCTTCCCTATAGAATACAACCATTTTGTTACACACTCTTTCTGTCTCTGTGTACATTTGGGCCTCCTGGCTACTACACCTGGTTCCCCTCTCTCCCCTCCCTTCCCCTCTCCCCTCTCCCCTCTCCCCACATGGCACAGCTCAGTCTGGTCATAACCACCCTGGATTCTCCTAGATGTCCCTGTCCCTGCCTCTACCTATGCTCTCGCATAGTGCATCTAAAGTAGACCTCCTCCACCGTAACTAGGAACAGTCGTGTTTTAGTGTTTTCTTTTCATTCACTCCCGTTTGCACATTAAGTACTTTACCCGCTGAGCGGTTTGCTTGACCCCAGTTGGAAAGTTAGACTTCATCAAAATTACAAGCTCTATATCACGTGCTCCCAAGAGACTCAAGAGAAGCAAAGGACTGGAAGTGTTCATGGTGGCTAACACCCGTGACATCAGCACAGGAGGCCAGAGGAATGTGGTGAGTCCGAGGCTAGCCTGGGCTACGCAATGAGTGCCTGGACTTCACAGCAACTCTTACTTGTGTGCGCACATGTACAAACAGGTGTATGCGTACAGATGCATATTTACATGGATGTGCATGTGTGTGAGGAAGATCAGAAAGCAACCTCAGCTGTCATTCCTCAGGCGCCATCCACGTCTGTTTTCCAGATGAGCTTTTCATTGACCTGAAACTTGCCAAGTATGCTGGACTGGCCAGGCTGTGATTCCAGGGGTCCAACTGTCTCTGTCCCCACAGTGCTGTGGTTACAAAAATGCACCACAATGCTTGGCTTTTTTTTAAAATGTGGATTCTGGGAATCAAGCTCAAGTCCTCCTGTTTGCATGGCAAGCATTTTATCGAATGAGCCATCTCGCAATAAAGTCTTGTTAAAAAAAAAAGTCATGAGGATGATTTCTTTTTTCCATTGTATAGTTTTAGCTACTTTGTCAAAAAATCAAGTGTTCATAGGTGTGTGGGTTAAAATCAGGGTTTTCAATTCAGTTCCATTGGTCTACCTGCCTATTTTTGTGCCAGTACCAAGCTGTTTTCAGGACGATAGCTCTATGATAGAGCTTGAAATCAGGTATGATGATGCCTCCTGAAGTTCCTTTATTGTATAGGGTTGTTTTGGCTATCCTGGGCCTTTTGTTTTTCCATATAAAGTTGATTAATGTTCTTTCCAGGTCTGTGAAGAATTGTGCTGGAATTTTGATAGGGGTTGCATTGAAGTCCAAAGAATGGGAAAAGATATTCACTGACCCCACATCTGACAGAGGGCTAATCTCCAAAATTTACAAAGAACTTAAGAAGCAAGTCTCCAAAACACCAAAGGATCCAATCAAAAGGTGGGGTACAGAACTAAACACAGAATTCTCAATAGAGGAGGCTAAAATGGCCAAGAGACACTTAAGAAAGTGCTCAACATCCTTAGCCATCAGGGAAATGCAAATCAAAACAACTCTGAGATACCATCTTACTCCTGTCAGAATAGCTAAAATCAAAAACACCGAAGACAATTTATGCTGGAGAGGATGTGGAGAGAGGGGAACACTCCTACACTGCTGGTGGGAGTGCCAACTTGTACAGCCACTTTGGAAAGCAGTATGGAGATTCCTCAGGAAAATGGGAATCAATTTACCACAAGACCCAGCAATTCCACTCTTAGGCATATATCCAAAGGAGGCAAATTCATACAACAAGGGCATCTGCTCCACTATGTTCATAGCAGCATTATTTGTAATAGCCAGAACCTGGAAGCAACCTAGATGCCCCTCAACTGAACAGTGGATAGAGAAAATGTGGTACATTTACACAATGGAGTATTACTCAGCAGAAAAAAACAATGGAATCTTGAAATTCGCAGGTAAATGGATAGCACTGGAAGAAACCATCCTGAGTGAGGTAACCCAGTCACAAAAAGACAACCATGGTATGTACTCACTCATATATGGATTTTAAACATGGATTAGGAGAGTACCAGTCTGCACTTCCACTAACAGAGAGTCTGGGAAACAGGAAAGAACCTAAAAGATATACATGGTACCCAAGAGAAGAGAAATGAGGCAAGATCCTCTGAACAGATGGGGAACACGGCGAGGGGTGGGGGGAGGGGGACCTGGGAAATAGAGAGGGGGAGAAGTGGGAGAGTAGGACTTGGAGGAACAGGAAGGTCGACTGGGGGGGGTAGAATAGGGGGAAGAGGGAATCATGGGTTAAAAGACAGATCAGGCACCATTGTGACCTCTAGTGATCTAAATGGATGACACCAATTGGCAAGTTAAGCAATAGTGTTGAGACCACCCCGAATGCCTATTCCTGATAGTGAACTTGATGTCTATAACCATCCTGGAGCCTTCATCCAGTGACTGATGGAAGCAGTGGCAAACACCAAGTCAAATACTGAACAGAACCCAAGGAATCCAGCGACAGAGAGAGAGGAGCGAAGAGCAAATTGGCAAAGAATGGGCTGGCAAAACCAGCAGAGACAGCTGATCCGAACAGGGGAGAGCTTTTGGACCCCAGACCGACAGCTGGGAGGCCAGCATGGGACCGATCCAGACCCCCTGAATGTGAGAGTCAGTGAGGAGGCCTGGGCTACCTATGGGGTCCTGAGCAGTGGATCAGTGTTTATCCCTGGAGTACTAACAGACATCGTGTGTCCATAACACAAAGAGGGATGCTCTCTCTGCCTGGACTCTTAGGGAAGTGCCTGGACCCTACCCTGAACGAAATGATAGACTCTAGATATCCCCTATGCGGAAGGAATTGGCAATAGGGTGGGAGGATGGGGGGGGGTATGGTGGGGGGGTGCGGGAGGAGGGGAAGAAGAGGGAACTGGGATTGACAGGTAAAACAAGCTATTTAAAATTTTAATTAATTAATTAATTAATTAAAAAAGTCATGAGGAAATGCTTTTGAATTTTATATGTATATCTGATAAACAAATGTGTCTAGACTACATGGAAAAAAAAACTCTTAAAACAGTACATTAGGAGAGCACAACAACCCATTTCAAAAATGGCTGAAATAATAGGAAGGGGAATGTTGCCAAAGAAAATACATGGACAGAAATTCAACACTCAACACTGTTCTTCATTCAAAAAAATGCAAACTACAACCAAAATAAGATACTGCAAAACCAACCAGGCAAAGGCCCACAGAGTAGCAGGGTGCTGTCCTGCATTGCCAGTGGGAACACGAGCTGCAGTGCACAGCAGCATTGAGCTGTTTCCTGTAAAATTAAATGCATCAGCCCCACCATGGGTATTGACCTAAGAAGAATGAAGGCTTCTACCCTTTGAAACCTGCACACAAGTGCTCCGGCAGCTCTGCTCATAATTGCCCCAGAGCAGAAGTCACCCTGATGCCCTTAAGCTGGAGATGCTTCCGAGTAGAAAGGGATGCACTGGTCAGTCACAAAGCAATGCAGAGGAGAGCCAGATTCCAATGTGACCCTATTTGTATCACTTGAAATGGCAAAACTGAAGGGAGGAAACAGACCAGGGACACCAGGATGGACTGAGGGGCTCAATAGCAAAGGGTTAAGGAGGGGATCTGCCAAGATGGTGGTAAACTCTGTGTCATGCATGTGTCAAACCCCAGAGAACACTTACTGTACATCATAAGCAGTAAACACTATTACATGTAAAGTTTTTAAAAGTCAGAGTGTGGGGTGAAGAGAGTACAGGCTGTGACACAGGACCTCAGATGTGAGAAACAAAGCGTAACTGCCCTGGAGAGGGACGAGAGAGGACTCCCAGGCTATTGTGCTACCTTGTCTTATATCACCTTGACACAAGCTAGAGTCATCAGAGAGGAGGGAGCCTCAGTTGAGGAAACGCCTTATAGCCTAAGACTGTAGGGCATTTTCTTAGTGATCCATGGGTATGGCCCAGCCCGCGGTGAGTGGTGCTATTGCTGGGATTCCTAGGTTCCATAAGAAAGCTAAGCAGCCTTGAGGAGGAAGCCAGTAGCCAGCGCTCCTCCATGGCCTCCGCAGCGCTTGCGTTCAGGCTCCCGCCCTGCTTGAGTTCTTGTCCTGACATCCTGTGATGGTGTGGAAATGTGAGCCAAATTCTTTCCTCCCCAGGTTGCTTTAGTCACGGTGTTTCATCAAAGCGACAGTAACCCTGACAAGATAGTTATTTCGGAGAAAAACATTTCGCCTGGACACTGTAAGACCATGGACTACCAGAACAAAACACGTGCTGCATTCTAAGTAGTGAAGCTCTGTCTTAGTGACTCTGAGACGACTTCAGATATGCCAGAACTGAACTGTAAACAAGGGCATTGTGGATATAAGAGCCAGGCGCCCTGCCATTGTCAGAGCAAGAGGCTGGGAACAGGAAGAGCGAGGTTAGAGCAAATCTGGCATCGTTGGTCTGAACCTGGGGCTGTAGTTACGAACTCGTGGTGTTACAATAGCAACTGATGGATGATAGATGGAGAGATGGAAGGAGCTAGGTAACAACCGAGGGCTATGAAATGGGTGGAGACAAAAGTGACAGATAACTAACTGACGGATAGATGTAGTGGATAGGTAAACGCACAGTTTAGCATACATGATCCCTGCTGTGATGACAATGGGCTAAACCTCTGAAACTGTAAGCAAGCCCTCAATGCTTTCTTTTCTAAGAGTTGCCTTGGTCATGTGTCTCTTCACAGCAACAGAACAGTGACTTAGACACATGCTCTGCCCAAGAGAAGCTGGAGAATGAAGCTACCCCAGCAGCAAGCACATCCAGACCTAGACATCCTGGTTTCTTAGCCAGATTCACAGGCAGGGGCCCAGCACTCCTTGGAGAAGGGGTGGGTCTCAGGCCTAGCACAGGGACAATACAAGATGAGCCTGGAGCCCTTCATGGTAACAGGAAGTGTATAAGGAAGGAAGGGATATGGAGACAGGACAAGTGTCAATCTGAAAGAATACTTGAGGTTCAAGAAATGATATGATTGGCCTGGAGCTTGCAGAATCAATGAGACACAACGTTCCCATAAGAACATGGAAAAACTCGCTGTCAGGTGAGCAGGAGTTTGGGGGAGAAAAAGCAGATTTGTACTGTGTCAGTGTCTCTTCTCACTGTTTGCAAATATCACCCAGGGCTCCCACTTCAGGGAGCACACGATTCATCATGCTGGCCTCTGGGCCCCCTGTTGGGCGCATGAGGGTTCTCACTGTGCAGTGTCTCACCCCAAGCTAACCATGAGAAAGCACAAGGCACATCAGACGGAGGACACCACAAAATAACCCACATGTTAATATGAGCATGTCATGTCAGAAATGACAAGGGAACACTGGGAACTGATACCTTTGAGTGGAGAGATACAATGACTGATAGAGCCCGGGACCCAGGAACGGAACATCTTTTGCCAGAGGAAAACTGTCAAAGCTTGAGTCAGGTCTGGGGACTGGCTGTTTGGAACACGCCTCAAGATTATTGTGCATGATATTAACATCAGGAGAAGCCAGGGAAAGGGCACACGGAGACTCCCACAGCCAGATGCCATAACAAACAGCTGCTATCCCAGCACTTGGAAGGCAGAGGCAAGAGGACAGTGAGTTCAAGAGCAGCCTGACATGCATAGAAAGACAGACAGAAACCGTGGGTGAGATGGCTCAGCAGGGAAGGGCACTCGCTGCCGAGCCTGATGACCTGAGTTCACTTCCTAACTCATGCTCATATGACTGGAGGCAGCATTAGCTTGCAAGTTGACCTGTGACCTCCATACAGTGCCACAGCATGAAGAGCACACACGCACATGTGTGCCTACATACACATGTAATTTAAAAGTTAAAGCAACAAAACCTCTCTACGGCTATTTTTGCTGTTTTATATCTAAAAATCATTTCAAAATAAGAGCTTTTTGAAATCTCACTGGAGTGAATGGTGATTGGTGTTCAGTCAGAAAGCAGGTGACATTCTGCCACTGCCTTTACTGGGCCAGACACACATCAACCAGCAGTTCCCAGAGCGGCATCTGGGACAGAAACAGACACAGACCTTGGCTTTGTAGTCTTCAGGTAATAGGGGCCACGGGTTTTCCTGTGCCAGGAGCTGAGATTACAGCATAGGCTGGAGACTGACAACCATGGGAGGACTCAGGTAGGGGCCGGCATGGTGCTAACACCCACAGCCAGCGCCTGGCTTCCTCCCTTGGAGCCTCAGGAGTCAGGGCTCCGATCATCTTCCCTCTCTGGCCCGTGGGGCTCTGGGGGCTGCTGGGTAGGTTGCTGTTTGTTGCTGCCCCCCGGAAGTGCAGGCCTGTGGTGACTGTCCCTTGTTGAACCTCCAGGGCTAGCACCTCTGATACAATATCAGACTGCAGTTCCGTGAACCTTTCCTTACTGGTTGTATCTGAGCATCCGCTCTCTCTGATCAGGGGGAACGAGGGGAATGTTCATTTGCCCCCGTACCACACTGGGAATCAGTCCCTGCTCCAAGACTGCTGGTTCCTTTTATTGTATAATATGCAGCTCATGCAGCCAGCTTCAGAGAACCTCTGGCTCTGGCTCCTGGGCTGTTTTGTGGCTACCCAAGCTAAGGGGTACTCACAAGTTCTCACCTTCCTTCCCTCCACCGTGACCACTCTGACTTCAGCGTCCAGGGAGCAGGAGATGGTCTGAGTCGAGCCCGGACTCACAAAATGCTTTTGGGGGAAAGGGGCACTGATAGCTGTAGTTTGGACACAGAATATCCCCACAGACTCGTGTGGTCAGTCATGCTAGGTCACTAGCTAGTAGCAATCTTTTTGGTTGTTGTTGTTGGTGGTGGTGGTTTGTTTTGAAATACAGTGTCACTATGTTGCCCAAGCTAAGCTGAAACTTAATGTTTCTCCTGCCTCAGCCTCCTAAGTGCTGGGATTACAGGTCTATGCCATCACACCTGGTTGGTGGCACTATTTTGAGAGGGTCTAGAACCTTCAGGAGGTGGGTCCTAGCTGGAGGAAGAAGGCCATAGGGGATGGGCCCTTGGAAGTGTCTTGTCCCTGTTCCCCTTTGCCCCCCCCCATCGCTTCCTGTGTGTTCTGAGACGAGTAGCTCTGCCATCAGGATGTAGGCCTCATCACAGTCCCAGAGACCCAGAGTCAGCCACGAAGGACTGAGCCCTCTGAAATCTCGAAGCTGTTCCATGGGGTTATTTTGGTCACAGCAACACAAACATAACTAATGCACTGCCTATGGCTACTGATGTCCAGATAGGGAGAGGCACCTGTGAGGGGACCAGCCCTGCCTATGCCCCAGAACTCCTCACATCGCCCTGTTTTCCCTCCATTCTGGTTCTGTTTTTTTTTTGTTGTTGTTGTTAGCTTTCCACAAGCCAGAGTTATTTGAGTAGAGGGAATCACAACTGAGAAAAAGCTTGCTTCAGACTGGCCTATAGGCAAGCCTGTGGGGCATTTCTTAATCAGTGAAGGAGGTGGGAGGGCCCAGATCATTGTGGATGGTTCCGCCCCGAGGCAGGTGTCCTAGGGTATACCAGGTTGAGAGCTGGACGGGTGGCTCAGTGGTTAAGACACTGGCTGCTCTTCCAGAGGACCGAGACTTCCAGCGCCCACTCGGTGGCTCACAACCGTCATTACCACAGTTCCAGGGATCGAACATCCTGAGAGCATCAAGCATGCACTTTGTGCACACACACATATGCAGGTAAGACACATACACATTTTTTTTTAAAAAGGAGGAGGAAGGGAAAACAAAGAAAGGCTTAGCAAGCCAGGAGAACTGAGATAATAAACGACACCCTTCCATGGCCTCTGCATCAGCTCCGGCCTCCAGTTCCTGCCCTGCTTGAGCTCCTGCCCTGGCTTCCCCTGACTACAGGAAATAAAGGCAACTTTCCTCCCAAGTTGCTTTCAGTCATGGTGTTTAGCACAGCAATAGAAATTCTGACATCCTTCATGTGGGAACTGTTCAGACTTAAGGTGCAGTAACTCTGCAAACCCTAGAGGTTCACTTGCCCACAAGTGGAGGAAGGGTTGCACCCAATGGGACAGGCACAACCTGCCACCTAGGGGCCTCTCTAGGAATTTCGGGTTGTTGCCACTGGACGCCAGCATTGAGCCGAACTGTGTCTACTCTCCTCCACCCAGCTTCCACAGCCGTTAAGGTCAGGGACATGATGATCTGAGACTGGGATTGTTCCTGCCAAACAAGAGGAAAAACACCACAGTGACAGGGTGGGGTCGGGTACAAAAGGCACACAGCAGGGGCCTGAACCCTGGCAGCCTGTTGCTTAGTCGTGCAGGGTTTGCTTGTCGGAGCGCCCCCGTGTGGCTCATGTTGGCATTTTCTGTAGCGCTGAGCCAGGCCACCTACTGCTCCCTTCCAGAGCAAGCCTATGCGTCAGCTTTCTGACTGTGTCTATAGACACTAGAGGCCACAGAGACCACACACTGTCCTGCACAGGGCGGTCTGGCCCCACTGAAGGCCAGGGGATTATGTAAGGCATGCTTGTAAGAACATACACCCGAGTGTGATGTGAAAGATGAGTAAATCTCTCCTACCATCCTGCTGAACCGAAGGGCCTCACAATCTCACGCTGTTTTCACACAAGAGCATCTTTTTAGAACAAGGCTGACTCCTGGAATTCTCCTGCACAGCCCCACCAGGGGATATGGCCGTAGCCCCAGGGAGGGGCTTGGTGACAAGACCGTCTCGCTGAGTGGCTCACTGCACCACACGACAGCCAGCCAGCTCGCTCTCCACAGGGCATGCTAGCCTTGCTGGGCAACAGACATCCTTGCTGTGGAAGAGCGGCTCAGCGTAGAGGGCCCAGCCTACAGGGTCTCCCAGAGTGGAGAGACGTGGGAGAGATGGGCACAAGGCCAACACACAGGTGCTGAGCCTGATGAGGTGGGCGCTCAGGAGGAGGAGGAGGAGGGGCACATGCGCAGGAGAAAGCACTCATCAGCCATACAGCGTTTCTCTCTTGCTGCAGGTGGAAAGAGAGCTAGCCTCTACCACTCTGGGGCATGTGCTGGTCTCCACATGTGATGTGTCCACAGCTCCCATCCCTGCCTCCTTACTTCCTGCCCCCCCCCCATGCTCAGCAATAGGTTCCACCATGTTCCCTGGGGCTCTGCTCCATCAGTGGCAGGTCAGGTAACCTCACCACGTCTCCTTACAAGGAAACCACTATACAGTCCTAGGCGGTGGGATGTCTCTGTTGAACAGGCCATTCCAGAGCCAAATACCTCACTGCAGCCTGTAGGTAGCCCTGGGTATGAGGACCTGGGCCTGGGCCCTTCCCTAAGCTAGGCAAGCTTCATCCCTCAGAGGGAGCTGAAATCTGCTGCGGCAGGCCTCTTTGTCCCAAGAGATACACACACCCAGGCAGTGCCTGCCCAGTTCCCAAAGAGCCCCAGAGTGTCTCTGGGAAACCTGTTCTCAGTCATCTCTTCCCCACAAGCATCTTGCTTGATGCAACCCAGAGGGGACCAAACTCTTTTGATTTGCCACAGGATCATCCTGTCATGGGTATCTGTTCAAAACACAGTACAGCCAGGGCTGTCATTCCAGTTATTCAGAAGGCTGAGTCAGCAAGATCACCATGTTAACCCCTGGGGTATAGAATGAGTTCTGGACAGCTCAATGAGACACTGTTTGAAAATAAACACTAAAAAAGAAGGTTAGGGATATAGCTCTCAGGGGTAGAGAGTTTTCCTTCAATGCCCCAGGCCCTGGGATCATCCATGTTATGTGTGTAGTGGATGCCAAGTTCTAACCCACAGTGCAGCTGCTCTGCCATCTTCTATGGGGACTGGGCAGGATGGAGCACCTGTGTCTTGGGGAAGAGCTTCCTGTCCATAGGGATGGGGAAGAAGGTGCCCTGTGTCCATTTGAGCTTTGGGGACATCACTGCCCTGGGGAGGGAAGTTCCCACTATGTGTGGGGTCCAGCCACAGATGGGTCCACAGATGGGAGAGGAAGCTTCTGCCTTGGAAGTTCTGCGGGCACCTGGGCAGGGCTGGAGTGCATTAGCCAAGGCAGCTCAGGTGCTTCTCAGAGGGCGCTGGCATCTGAGTTAGCATGGGCAGGGACGGTGAGGATCCTACAACCGTGGGCCACTCCCGGAAATGGATACAGTAAGCCCCCAGTCCATTACACAATGGCCCTCAGCCACTCCAGGCTCCTCTGGCAGCGGAGACCTCATTCACATCTCAAAGGGCACATCCAATCAGGCAAAACTAACAGGCTGCTAAACAGTGTGGGAAGGAGGGCTGTCCCCAGTGGATAACTGTTGCCACCTACCTGCAGGTCATTGTGCCGTGGCTGCCTTCTGAGGTTCATAGACCGCTGGGTGCATCGTATCTTCACCTTCTCTCCCGGGCCTGCTTCTTGTGTGCACAGGCTCTGGACGAGGCCTTCTTCAGCTACCCTCACCATCTGCCCTTGCTGCTTGCAGCTCTCAGGCTAGGCCCACCGGCTGAGGGTCTTCCAGGACGGGAGGACCAGGCCTCCACTATGTCTGGGCTGTGCTTTGATCCACATTCTGCAGGGCCAGGCCTCTGCATACTCATCTTGCATGCCCCCTGGCCTCTCCTCTGGTCTTCCCACTGTGCTCCTGGCCAGCAGACGGGGACAGGAGTCTAGCCATTGTGTCTCAGGGTAGTGTAGGAAGCCAGTGTGTGTGTGTGTGTGAGTGTGTGTGTGTGTGTGTGTGTGTGTGTGTGTGAGTGGGGGTCATAACTCTCATCTGTCCTCACAGAGACACCAACGTAACAGAACAAGGTTGGGCGTGGATCTGTCCATCAGCAAGCGTTCAGGACCACCGTGAGTGACTTCAGTGTGACATGCAGGATGCCACAGGGAATCCTCCTAGGTCACCACTGTGACCACAGCCTTCGTCTTGCCCTTGGAGGGCAAGTCTGGGCAGTTCTGAGATCTTCTTCCAAGGGTATTGATGGTCACTCTGGGGACAAGGGGGTGTGTCCGGTGTGGGCTCCAGCACAGGAGCAGTTCTCACCCCTGCATGGCAGGGAACACTACATATCGCTGTGATTGGGATAAAGCCTCCTCTCTGGGCTGAAGGTCACCAGGACTCGGTAGCCAAGGCTAGGCCTCTCCTAGAGAAGCACTAGTCAGCAAGACAAGTTCTAGTCCTGGCTCACCCCAAGTGGACAATGACTGCAGCTCACAGTGCTTTTAGCCTCATCCCCCACAGGGCTGGGAACAGATCCCAAACCCTCCAGAGTCTTCAGTGTTGAGATTCAATTTCCCATGCTTTCTCTGGCACCTGCTGCTCTCTGGTCCTGTTAGAGGACAAAGGTCCACTTTTGCAGAGGGCTAGAAGAAAGACACAAGCATGAGACTCAGGGGATGAAGAGGGATACAACTGCTGGCCCCCTGAAAAAGATCTCTCTTTACTCTCTAGATAGCAGAGCCAGAGGCCTGAGACCAGCTGTGTGGTCACGTCCCCAGTGTCCTCGTCTCTGAGCACAAAGTAGTGACCAAGCGTGGCATATGACCTTTGTGTGCAAACAGAGCAGCGGCTCTACACATTAGTACCACTGCCGTGATTGCAGGTGAGCCTATAACTTGGGGACATGGAGCCTGAGCTACGGAGGACACAGAAAACTCATAAAGTCACCTTCTGCTGCCTAGTGGATACTGACTTCTGCAGTAGGAGCTAATCATGGACATGCTCTTGTGGACCCAATGCCTGGAGAAGGGCTTCTTGTTTCTGACAGGGGGTAGCTTTTCAAGGAGACTTCTGGAAGATCCAGGAGGGGCCTTTCTGATTCTCTGAGGGCAAGCAGGCAGCTGCTGGGAGGCAGGGACCACTAGTGTCTCCCAGAAAAAGCAGCAGGACCAACACCATGAAAAGCAACCACTGACGTACTCACCAGTGCAGCGGGCCAAGAACAGCTATGACCAGAGAATGAAGGCTAGGGAGAAAAACAAGAACAAAAATAAAAACTGAAAAGGAAAGGGGAGGATGGAGAAACACAAGGAGAGAGAAAGAAAAATAAGAGTTGTAGCGTGTCTGTAAAGAAACGAGCCATGATCATAGACAGAGAGGGACCGTGGCCAGCTGGGAGGAGCAGGCAAGGACAGGACACATTGAAGGGGCTTTGTGAGAATCCTAAGCTTAGGGTGACAATGCTACCCCAAATAACATTAGGGAACTAGTCACCATTTAAGGCTTAGCTGTGGGATCCACACCCGCTCCCCTGCCCCAGCACAACAAGCTTCCCAGGGCCAGGATCTATGGAGAGTCACTGAGCCGAGGATAACAGTGGAACAGGAGCAGTATCCAGCACATACAAGTGCCCTAGTTCTGGTGCAGCCTGAATAGACTTGACTTGAAGTATTGGTTGGGTTGGGGGTGAGGGGCAGGCAAACTTGGGAGAAAAACTAAGCAATTACATTCAGCCATTAAACGAAATTAGAAAGCCCAGACACCAAACTTAACGTTGCTTTAGTGTTAATTCAAACATAAGCCCTTGGGTTAAGATACAAAATGAAACAAACATACAGTCTGGGGAAGACTTCGCCACCTTAAGGTTTGCATTCATTTGACAGGCAAGTAGCCCACACAGTAGCTAGCCATGAGCCCCTAGTAGTCCCCAGTTTGCTGCTCCTCTCTAAAGAGTGGAGGTCTTTCCCCTGGGCTCCACCTTTGGTGGGATTAATGTCCTCAGACCGTCAGGTCAGAATTACAGTGTTAGAAACTCAGGTGAACAATAAGACTGGGCCCCCTCCTGGCCTTGCTGGGTACCCCCAGTGTATATGTCGGGTGTTTGCCCATGTGGCCTGGAGTTTGTAGGCAGTCCCTGTTGGGACCCTGTTTCAAATCACATGCCTGCTTGACTCTGGGGTCTTCATGGTAGACCGAGGAATGTAAGTGAGGTTTGCTGGATAGTGGCAACAGAATGCCCCACAGATGGCAATCTTTGTCACCCCTAAGGCTGGCTGGGCTGGCTGAAATGGACAGCTGCTGGAGTCTGCTCAGCAGAAGGCAGAGAACACCTCCAGGCCGTGGCTGAGGCTGGGGAGGAGGTGGTCTAGAGGTTATACTGCCCAAGCCCTGCCTCCTGTTCTCCCCAGAAGGAACAAGGCAGGCAGGTGGGTCCCACTGGCCACTTTCTGCATCTTGTCACTTTGATGAGATCTATCCATTGGTAGGGACAAGCATAGGACTCAGGAAAGGCACCTGACTTCAGAAACATGGGAACTAACCCCAACCACACAGGATACAGGAAAGAAAGCACAGCATCCCTCAGCGGACAGGGGTCTCCAGGCACATGCTCTTCACCTTGGCATGGGGAGCACTGAGTCTGCTGATACCAGTGGACAGAGGCCCTGCACCCCAGGCTGCAGAGGCAGGGTGCAGAGAAAGCACCTGAGCAGGCACCCTAGCATATCTGGCTCTGGAGATACTACCTGGGGATCATGGGCAAAAGGTCCCCATGCCCTGAGAGCAGCTTTTGGGGAGCATGGCCTATCTTTCAGGAACCTGATCTTCAGACAGCCAAGCATGACGAACCTGGAGAGCTAAACGCATCTGCACCACCCACGGCACCAGCATGGAAAAGGACTCTAGGTCACTAGTCCAGCGTATGGATCCAGAGGGGAAACCGAGGCGGTGCAAAGGCTACCGGGCTAGGCTGTGTGAGGGCTCCTGGCTCTGGTCCAGTGTCCCCACAGCTCCTGCCCAGTGGACACCCTTTCTGTTCGTGTCCTCTCTGCTTTGCATGTGCTACCATGCAGGCCGGGGCGCAACGGCAAGACCTGACTTGTAGATGCCAGGAAAGCCCAACCCCCAACCCCGCCCTCCAGCTGCACCCTCCCATTTGTTTTACCTTTTCTTCCAGCTCCTTTATTTGTCTCTTCTGGGTCTCTATTCTTTCTTCTAGCTCTTTTATTCTCTGCAACATTAAAAGGAGGGAGATATTCAGTAATCAGAGGATTGGAGTACCAGCTATAAAAGGACCGAGATTTCCCCTCGCCTATTTGGGGACAATAGCCCACAAAGCAGCTACTGTGTTGGTGCAGCCCTAAGTCACTTTGTGGTCCCCAGCTCAGCACTTCTCTTCAAACAGAATGAGGGTCCTTCCCCACTTCTCCTTTGATGGGACCAACGTCCTCTGACTTGGTCGGGTCAGAAACTGTAGCGTTTAAGTGGAAGAGCAAGGAATTGGCCTACATCCTCCCCAGGGCACTATACAGAGCAACAGGCAACCAATAGGCAGAGCTACCAACTAGAAGAACTGCCCTTCTGCAGCTGAGGCCTGGGGACTTGGAAGCCGCTGAGTGCCAATGACAGCCCATTGATGGAACAAGAGAGACAGGGGTGACCTTCCTAACCCTGACTAACCTGGAGCCCAAAGTGGCCCTAGTGGGCCCAAGAGTAAAGGAGTACAGGCACATCCTAGTGGTTGGTAAGTCCTGTCCGATGGCCTACTGACCGTCATGGAAAGGCGGCAACTGGTCTAGTAGCTTATCTAAATCTGCATCTGAGCCTTTTCATGCTTAGGATTATCTGACATGAGTTATGTCCATAGAAGCTGCTTTCAGGCCAACCCCACAGGCAGAAGCTGTGACTCAATGGGGCTGGGTAATGGTTGGTTAGCTGCTGCCCACAGACAACGCTCTTGCCAGCAGGGGACAGTGTCCTGTAGGAGACCTGGAAGCCAGGAGTCCATGGAGAACTACCACACAACTGCTAGACTAGGAGCTAGTTAGGGAGGGACATGGACTGAGTATGAAAGGGGGTGGTCATCTCTTTGGACGCGTGCCCCCCAAAGAGCTAGGTCTTGGGAAGCCCATCCGACCTTCTATTCCCATCCCGCCATCAGCACCTGCTGCGCAATCTGCAGCAGCTCCATGCGTTCCCTCAGGATCTGTGCGTCACGCTCCCGCAGCTCACTCATGACCTGACGCTTCCACTGCTCCACCGCCACCTTGAGCTTCTCACGCTCTTCTTCTGACAGCAGCTCAGCCACTTTGGCCCCGGCTTCCTGCTGCAGGGCATCATACAACATGGCTTCCAGCTCCAGGATGTGCTGGGGACAGGAGACAGGCATCAGCCCACCCTCTCCAGGGTAGGCAGCCTTGCTTCTACTTAGCAGAGTTTCTACTGGGGAGGAAGTGTGTCCAGTGGTCTCTGGGGAAAGGTCCTGGAGTGTCACAAACACCTTACTTCCTATCTAGCAGGCACCCTAGAAGAGCTGGGGTCAAACACCAGCCAGGACTCCTGCTGATGTCCTGGTACCATAATGTGCTTATGTTTTTGCCTCAGCAGCTGCTCAGACAAAAGGGAACTTTAGGGAAATCAGAAGGCACTCTTTCACTGTTCGTTTGGGGCTGGGGAGGGAACCCAGAGCCTCAGGCATGTCAGGCAACAACTGTCAGTGAGGGTCAGACCCAGATCCTGAGCACCAGCTTTTTAAAACAAAAGTTGTCTCCAGTTAAATCCTAAATGCATGATATGCTTATCAATTGTCCTATCAACTAATTTAATGTATCTATGTTAGTTCTCAATGTGCCTAAATGCCTGTATCCATGTGAGTCCTCGTCTGCTTACAGTCTTGAAGTGTTTTCTGAATGGGCAGTAACATGTCCTCAGAAGTCAGACTGAGAAAGGCAGCGAGGGACCCCACACTGAGTCTTGGTGCCTCCTAAAAGTTTTGAGTCTGGCCACACAGGTCTTTGAGATGTTCACTGGGGTGGGTAGGAAGGCAGATGTCTGCTCGCTCACCTTGTGGGCTTGGTCCAATGCCTGCTTCCTGTAGTCCAACTCCTCATCCAGGTAGCCTTTCTGCTTGCTGAACAGCTCCTGAAACACAGAGAGCCAGGCCTTGGTCTCAGGAATTCAGACCTGGTGGCATGCAGACCTGGTGGCATGGGCTTCAGGGGCACTCAAGGAGATTCCACTGACCTTCTCGCTCTCCAGATCTACCATTTTCCGCTGTAGAGCTGACTCTGTTTCTTCAATCCTCTGGAGCCACTGGGCACAAACACAATGAACATGTGATAGTGACTTCTAGCATCTCCCATGTGAACATCAATGTCAACCCTCTCCCACCCAGCTCCAAGGAGATAGCCTGGAAGAACATCAAAGGAGGCCTGACTAAGGAAGGGGAATTAGGATCGGCTGGTCCAGGACCCACTACCCATGCCACCTGACATTCAGGATGCCTGCCACTCCCACCTTCCCTGGTTTGGGGAGCAGCAGGAGCAGGTGAATCTTAGAACTCTGCCAGGAAAGGTTGGGTGGTCTGTTTCTCACCATCTTTGTTTTACCAGAATCCCCTTTCCCTGCATGGCTGGAGGTATGAGGAAGGGCTGAGGGTGGCCTGCTAAGCAAACCCATGCTGGGGGCAGGACCAGGATGAGGCTGGGGGGCTAGATAGGATTAGAACAGGGAACCAACGAGTACTGTCAGTTTTACAGACTTAGTCCAGCTTCCAACCCTGGGAGAAGGTGGAGTGAAGTCAGCATTTGGGGCGGTGTCTGTAGGAGAAGGTGGAGGTGAAGCCAGCATTGGGAGAGTCTGTGGGAGGGGGTGGAGGTGGGAGTCTGCACTGGGATAGTGTCTGCAGGAGGGGGTGGAGGTGAAGCCTGCATTGGGACAGTCTGTGGGAGCGGGTGGAGGTGGGAGTCTGCACTGGGAGAGTCTGTGGGAGGAGGTAGCGGTGGGAGTCTGCATTGGGGCAGTGTCTGCAGGAGGGGGTGGAGGTGAAGCCTGCATTGGGACAGTCTGTGGGAGGGGGTGGAGGTGGGAGTCTGCATTGGGGCAGTGTCTGCAGGAGGGGGTGGAGGTGAAGCCTGCATTGGGACAGTCTGTGGGAGGGGGTGGAGGTGGGAGTCTGCATTGGGGCAGTGTCTGCAGGAGGGGGTGGAGGTGAAGCCTGCATTGGGACAGTCTGTGGGAGGGGTGGAGGTGGGAGTCTGCATTGGGGCAGTGTCTGCAGGAGGGGGTGGAGGTGAAGCCTGCATTGGGACAGTCTGTGGGAGGGGGTGGAGGTGGGAGTCTGCACTGGGATAGTGTCTGCAGGAGGGGGTGGAGGTGAAGCCTGCATTGGGACAGTCTGTGGGAGGGGGTGGAGGTGGGAGTCTGCACTGGGATAGTGTCTGCGGGAGGGGGCGGGGGCAGAGCTGTTCGGGCCAGTGTTTGGCTGAATTGCCCCTTTGCAGAGGTACTTAGCACTGCTGTTGGACCTGTGTGGGCTAGTTTCCCTAGGCAGACATTACCTAGGGGACCATGTCCCTGCCCCTAAGGATCTCCTCCCAGGGAGAGTATCTATCTACAGGAGCCTGGCTGCCTCCCAGACATCCACAGAGTCCCTGTTACCTTTTCTGCCAAGGTCAGGACTGTCCTTGCTTGAATGACAACCACTTGTTCCTCATTGGTCAGATTCTGTGTGCAAAGGCAGAACACAGAGTCAGTGTCAGAGGTTGGTGCGGGTGGGTGGGGGTGGTGAAGGGACAGGGAGCTGGGACTATAGCTAAGAGATACTTTTACTCCATCATCCTTCTGCACGTCTGATGCCCTTTACCCCCACCTCGTCTGCTCCGGGATCCTATCCACATCACCTTCTCGCTGTCAGGATATCAAAAGTCTCAATGAACCAGCCAGGGCAGCTTAACCAGCAGGCAAGCCTAAACCATGTTTTGGAGACGGGCATTTCTGCCCTTCCCTGTCCTAGTCTTTGCTTAAAGCCAGCATTACGCACATGCAGTCATGGTGAAGATCCAGTATCACAGCTGTGAAATGACCCCAGGTCTGTGGGTGTTGGTTTGCTTTTGCCTTTCTCTACATTCATGTTTTTCCCCAAAGGGCCTCCATGTGGTCTTTCTGAGCAGAGTTTGTCTGGCTTTGGGGACAAATGGGATCACTGCCTGGATGTGGTCAGCCACACACTCAGAATAAGGCTGCCATCTGCATTGGATCTGGCTGCCCGGGTGGGATGCACCAGGAGGAGCAGGAGGCATGGCCAGCTAAGGCTGGGACAGGGGAGCCCCACTTTACCCCTAGAACTTCCAGGATGCTAGGTCTTCCCTCCTAGAAGGTGAGCTCCCTAAAGGCAGGTACCTTTTCCTCAACCTCCAAGTCAGAATGGGGCTCCTCACAGCTGAGCGCTCTGGCAGGCAGGGATGCGGGGGCTGCGCCGCCTGGGATGGGCACGGTGGGAGCCTTGTCTACCAGTGCTGGCCTCGGTGTTCTTTACCCCCCCACTCTGCTCTTCTCCCTCCCATGACTCCTCATGTCTGCCGCCCCCATTCTTCCTCGCTCCTCCTACTCTTCTTCATTCCTCCTGTTTGGAAGCCTCAGAGGCGTCCAGAGGCTCCTTCCCCCTAAGGGCAGAGCTGTGTGGTCATAGCTTTGTCTGCTGGGTAGGATGATGAACACTGGGGAGGTTGAACAAAGAAAGTAGCTTCAAGGTGACTGAAGGGATCCGCTTGAATGTCTCAAAGCAGGTTGATGACCCCTGGTGGTCATTCCCTGATGCCCAGCTTTGTCAGAACACGGTTTGATCAGTCTACAGTCCTCTCTTCTCCAAGTGACAGCAAGGGGACTGCAGCAGCTTGAGCTGCACCACTTAAATGAAGGATGGGCTTCTGTCTGGCCCCGCTGGTTTCTCTACTCTGCCCCTGGCATCCCGGCTCCTAGGGAACCTGACGCAGGCAGGAAATGCGCATGTCTGGTGACAGCAGTCATGGGTGGCACTCACGTACCCTATGAAAGTGACAGTCACTTGGTTCCTCACCAGCAGGGCCACTGAATGCTTCCAGACAGAACTCACAAGTTTGGGCTTCTCATGGTGCATCGTTGGACTGTGACAAGTAGTTGGAACTTGGTTCATTGGCAGGAACTGCCAGGGTCTCCTACATGTAAGACCTGTCCATATTCCCTCCAATCCCTCCTTCTCTGCCCTTGTGGTCTATGAAAGTGACCTCAGGGGCTGTATGATGACCCTAGGGAAATCAAGCTACATACAGGTGCTTTCAAGTGAGGAGCTACTGGGTTAAGAATCCTGACACAGACCCGGCTGGGGCCATCACCATAACTGCCACTAAATCAGCTCTGTCAGCTTCTGAGGCTTCAATTTCTCTAGCTGTAAACCAGAAGTTAGAATCCATGACATAACTTACACCTAAGACTAGACCCCAGGGCACAATGCACCATGGCTATCCCTGCTGTTGAATGGGACTTCACCATCTTCGCTATAAAGGAACCATCAAGAGTGGTTAAGTGGTGGACACGAACATCCGGGAACTCTCTGAAGGTGCTTCTCCCTGCTCTGCTCCTCACTGCCTCCCAGGAAATGAGAAGATAAAGAGAAAGGCTCCTGTCAATACCAAAGCTGACACAGGGCAGGTTGTGGTGGGGGGGAATCAACAAGTATGTGATAATGCATGGGGGAGAGATAGGTAAGTGGATACTGGGTGGGTGAATGGAGGGAAGAAGGGAGAAGGTAGAGGGAGGCAGGGAAGGGGGACTGATGGGGGATGGGTGGGTAAATGGTAAACAGGATAGAGGGATGGTGGGGATGAATAAAAGATGAACGGGTGGAATATGGTAGACAGAAGATAGATGAAAGGATAGATGGATGGACAAGGAACTGGTGGGTGGATGGCAGACAAAGGGTGGCTGGAGAGAAGATGTATGTATGTATGTAGGTATGTATGTATGTACGTATGTATGTAGGTGTATGTATGCATGTATGTATGTATGTGTGTACGTATGTATGTAGGTGTATGTATGTATGTAGGTGTATGTATGTATGCATGTATGTATGTATGTATGTAGGTAGGTAGGTAGGTAGTGTGGACAGAGGGTGGAGTGATGAGCTGAAGGAAGGCTAGGAGGTGTAGTGGAGGGTTGCATTGACTGTATTCACTTGACAATTAGTAGTCTTTGGAGGAGTTTCCTGCAGAAATCGGAGCTTTTCTCCCAGTGAGATTTGGAGACTACCTATGAATTCTGCTTCTATACCAAATCAAAGAATTGAGAATCGCAATGATCCAGGATTGCCTAAGAGTAGCACTCCCCCGACCAACACCTGTGGTCATAGAAGAGCTATGATCCAAAGAGGGTCCAGAAACTAAGTTCACGTGACTGGAAGCAGCAAGATCTGGGAGACTGGGCCCCAAGGGTATAGCCACGATGAGCCAAGATCAGACTTTTCCCAAACACAGGGGTCCATTCTAAGCAGGCTCTTCGCCTCAGGAAAGGGCTTTGTTCAGGGAAGCCTATGATGGGGCTGGGGTGGGCTTAAGGGGTCCCTGGGCCTGAAGGCTGGGCTGGGGTGGTCAGCATGAAGAGGCATGCACAAGTCAGGAGAGCAACATACACTTACGGCGTTATCCCCCAGGATGTCCAGCTTCTTCATCAGCTCCGTGACCAGGATGTCCTAGGAGGCAGACAGAGGGACAGAGTGATATGTGAGTGGCAGCTTGGTGGGCCATGCAAAGTGAAGGAGGGGAGTCTTACCGTGACACCTTCCGCCTCACAGTACACCTGCAGGGGGCTCTTCCCATCCACAAAAGGCGTGTGGTGGAAGTTGATGGCGGGTGACTTCCTCTCCCTCTCCTGAGACAAAGAGAAGAAGGCTGGGCATGGCAGGAGTGGAGCCTTCTCATCCTATCTCCTCCTCGCTGGTGCTGAGCTGGGGCCAGCGGAACACTAGGACCACCCACTGGAGAACCCAGGTGATGTTTCCCAGACTCAGCTCTAGGGGAGCCCTTGGGCAGAAACCTCAGGGGGATTGTCCCTGTGCTTGCTGGCAGGATGCTGGCTCTACAGAGCCCTGGCCGTGTGGCCTACTGGGACCCTTCACAGGGTTCGCTTGCTCTTTCAGCCCGAGTCCCAGAGGCTGTGAAGAGGCTTAAGGATAGACCTCAGGTAGAGTCACCCATGGGACTGGTAAAGTGAGCGCTGGATGAGACCACTGATGGGGTTCACAGTCCTTATGCAGACGATGCACACAGGAGCCCAGGACTCATGGAGGACTGCCAGTCAGCTTCATAGCCCTCCAGGGACCAGGGAGGTGGACAGGATCATTCCTAGTAGTGGGTCTATCTGGACTCAGTGTCCAACAGGCTTTCTGCCCACTGGACTGAGATGGAGGACTCAGGGCTGTGTGGGAATGCTCATCAAGGACACACCTGTGTAATAACTTCCTCTAGCCTCAGTGAGCAACACTGTCCACCTGTCTTCACAGGGCAAGTTGGCAGTGACATGACACCCCACCCCACCCCAGCCTGACCTCCCGAGGATCTTTGCCCCTCCTCCTCCTCTATAGGTCATAGCAGAGGGCACAGGCCAGGGACAGCAAGGCACAGTTGAAGGGGGACCTGACCTCTGTATGGTATCTCTCCCCCACCAGGAAGCTGGATTATCTGCCAGGCTGCACTGGATATTGTCCCTGCCACTGGTCACCTCAGTGCGGCTGCAGTCACAGTGCGTTGCTAAGGTCACAGGTCTGGAAGGAGCCCTGAGCATTCCGGTTGTTTTCATTTCCCTTTACAATGCCCGTTTCTAGCTTGCCACTCCGCACCCCTACCCCAAGTGACCTCACTCTGTACACCTCGCCCCATCCTTCCTGGGAGGCATACAGTGACCCCACCTAGCCTCTTTTCTTTCCCATGTGGCCTTTGGGATTTTATCCACCACGAGAGCTGAGAGGTTTGAGAAGAGAGAATCCCAGCTTGCGGCCCTGTGGTCCACCAGCTTGTGTGTCCCTATCCCCCGCCCCAGTCTACCCTACCTCAAGCTCCAGGATCCTGAATTCCAGCAGCTCATTCTGGTCCTTTGCATCCTGGACCTCGTGTTTCAGCCGGGCCTCCTCCGTCTCCATTTGTTTTATCTGAAGAATAGGGAGTGGATGAGCTGAGAAGGCATCTGATTCTTTCAGAGAATGCAGACCAGCTTTCTGGACAGCTGCTTGCTTCTGTGGGAACAGGGCACCTGCCCAGTATAACGGGGCTGCCCGGAGATCTGCTCCACCAACATAGAAAAGGAAGGAAGCTATCGAGGATCACTCCCCTGTGAAATTCCAGGAGTTCAGGCTGGTCCACAGCCCAGGGAGGAGTGAATGGGTATGTGGTTGCCTGGTTACGTCCCAGATTTGATGCGGATAATTCAGGTGTGTTTAGATTGCACCAGTAATGAGTGAACTTGATGTAGAGCTGGTTCGGCCTTCCAGAGAGTGAACACACAAGGGCTGGTGTGTGGTTCAGTGGCAGGGCACATGCCTAGCATGCACAAGGCTCTGGGTTTGATCACTGGCATCACAGAACAAACCCAAAACCAACACATGCCGCTCGTGGTTCACACCCTCAGCAGCTCCACGAAGACAGGATATCCACTGTGGTGGAGGCAGCTATAGCCATCTCTATAGCCAGCACTGAGCTTGGAGACTCATATGATGGGAGAGTCCTGTGTATATGTAAAGCACTGTTGGCCAATAGGGAAGCAAGATAGGTGGGACTAGGAGTCTAGGAGGATTCTGGGAAATGTAGTGAAGAAGCCGTTGCCATGTGATTCCCGGGAAGAGGGGACGCAAGTCTGCGTTCTCGGAAAGAGAAGTCCTTATAAAAATATATATTAGTAATTATGGGTCAATAATTAAGTCAGAGCTAGCCAATGAGAAACAATAGCAAATGGCCAACAGCTTCAGAGTTAATATAGTGTCCTGTGTGTTATTTGGGGGTTCAGACAGCTTGGCAGGGCCCGGGGGCAGGCTGGAAGACTACATGTTACACCCATAAGCCAGTTTTGCTATTCAGGAGACCTACAAGGTGGACATGCTGTAAGTGTGCCAATTCAGTCTGCTCTAGACCCTTCCACGGTGCTAGTTCTCACATGCTGTAAGTGTGCCAATTCAGTCTGCTCTAGACCCTTCCACGGTGCTGGCTCTCGTCCTGAGCATTTGGCAGCTTTGAAGCACCTGCAGGGCCAGGTAGCCACTCTGCGTCATCAAATCCAGAAGAGAGCACAGGTGTATGTGTGTGTGCACGTATGTGCTCATGCCTGTGTGTGATATGAACATCTACATATGTGCATGTGGATGCCAGACATTGACACGAAGAATCTCCTTCAACCTCTCTCCATTTTGTGTTTTTGTGAGACAGAGCTTTAAATTTAGAATTCACTGATTCAGCTGGCCAGCACGCCCCAGAGGCCCTCCTGGTGCTGAGAACATAGACACATGCTGCTCCACCCAACTTCGTAGGAGTGCCAGGATCCAAACTCAGGTTCTCAGTCCTGCTCAGCATGCTCTTGCCTGGCTGCCATCTCCTCAGCTTCCTGGAGAGCTCAGATTTTTAAATGGGCGTGTGCATCTGGGTGTGCTCACAGGTGCTAAGTGCAGGTGCGCATGAGTGTTAGTGTGCACCACAGAAGGAAGCCACACCTGTCCTGTCTAGGCCTGCCTTGGGGAAGGTGTGCTGGCACCAGGCAACTGCTAAGAACAGTGTGGCTCTTCTCCCATGTTTTCTGACCTGTTTTAATCAGATAAAATATTACAGCCAACAAAGCCACAGCCAAGGAAATTGAGTTGAGGGTTTATTGTTGCTGTTTGTTTGTTTTGAGCCTCCCTTAGCAGAAACAACCAAGAGCATGCATAACTGAAGGAGCTACGAGCCACCACCCTACTCGAGTTGCACAGTCAGGAACAAAGTCCAGCTTCACCTGGGGACTCTCGAGGGAACTGTACTCTGAGGTCATTCAGTCTCATGGTGAACATTGCTAGAAGATCCTTGACCCACATGGCTTCTGACCAGATTGATTCCAGTGATTTCTCCTTGACCCACATGGCTTCTGACCAGATTGATTCCAGTGATTTCTCCAGCCACCCTTACCCACAAGCACAGCAGAGTTACTACAATGGCTGCAGACACAGCTCTTTTGGACCTGGGAGAAGTAGCCCTGGTTTCCTCTTCCAGGAAGTGAGCTGCCTTGGGCTGCTACAGGGTGAACCACAGAAAGGCCTGGAACTTGTGCCAAGTCTACCACCAGCCCACACAGCCTACCGCATACTCTGCAAGCACAAAGGCATCTTGCCAGATGCACGCGCAGCTGGGAGGCAGGGCATACCTTTTCTACAAGCTCTTGATTTCGTCGATACAACGCTTGCTTCTCCTCAATCCACTTCATATCCTTGAAAATGGAATTGAAATGCAGGCGTGAATACCCTGCAGGAGAATGCTGCAGGGCTACAGGAAACGCGCGCGCGCGCGCACACACACACACACACACACACACACACACACACACACACACACGCACACACACAGAAATCATTTGAAGACACAAAACCAGAAACAACAATATATAAACAGCAAACATGTAAGGTAAAAATTTTTAAAGAAAAAAAGCCCATACAAAGTATTATAAGACAAAAACCTCCAACAATACCATTGAGTTTGTTTTGTGTTGACCATTAACTGGTGGTGGGCATTCAGTCTTCCCTTGGGAGTGGTTTGTATACCTAGTGAGACTCTGTTGGAAAAAAATCTAATTTTTCTTTGAAGGTGGCTATCAACTGAAGATAGTTTCTGGGTTAGGGATGGGGGCTTGGGACACGGTGTTTTTCTTCCCTGGGCACTCTTCTTTTATCATGAACAATAGAACATCAGTCACCTGGGACAAGACCCAGCTGTGATGACCGGGCCAGGACCACATCTTGATCTGAGAAGGTTATGCATATATGGTTTGAACACCACTGATGCAGGCTTACATGCATGGTGGCCATGGAATGGAGGCAGGTGGGTTCTGTGTGTCAAGAGACAACAGGTTCTATGTAGCACTGAATTCTGGGACATTGGTCATGGAGTGTCTTGCTCCTGGTAACTAGCAGTCAGTACATTGAGAACCACCTAGCATTGAGGCTAAACAAGGATCAGGGGAGCATGGCCATGAGACATGATCTCTCCATGGAATTGAAAGTTCTGGAAGTGGTATTCTGGTATGAGAAAGAGGGATAACAAACACCTTGAACCATTTGATTCCAGGGGTTTGATGGGTCCCCCAGAAACCCAGGTCAGGGGCTAAGCCAGGAATAGCCTGGGACTTTTCCCTCTGATGTCTATGGTGTCTATTGCTCAGAGCAACGGTGGACAAGCCAAGGAGATGCCTTGTTCCATGAGTAGGCAGATTCTTGCTTCACTCACAGCTTGCTAGGTCATAAATTCTGGATATTAGAAACTTTGAAACATACTATACCCGCTCAGCTTTGCAGCATGCAGTGGATAATTCCTGTTTAGGTATGTGCTCACCCCCTCCATCCTTCTTGAACAGGAAACATGAAAACCACTGAGGGACATGCCTCTCCCAAGACCCCCTAGTACAGATGGAGGATACGAACCCCACAAGTAACCCGAGGAGCTCACCTGACCCTGCTCAGCCAGTGCCTTTTCCAGGTCCTCCACCTGGGCCTGTGCTCTTTGTATTTCTGCTTGCAGCTGCTCACGGGTCTGTAAGAAAGGAGGAAGAATACATCAAATTTTCTCTAACATGACAGACAGATAGACACACATACAGACAGACTGACTGACTCAGAGACACAGGCTGCAGAGCACTCTGTCTCAGTCCAGTTAATTGATAAGTAGTTGTGCTGTGTTTCCAAAACCCTAAATTGCAGAATTGCCTCTTGCCCTGCAGGGTAAATAGGGAGAGTGTGGCCAACCAGGACCAAAACCTCACAGCTTTCTGCTCAGGAGAGCCCCGCCGTCCGAGGAAGCAGCCTGTCTGTCTCCCTACTCACTGTACCAGCCCCAGTTCTAAGGCAGCTGCCTCCAGAAAGCAGTGAGAAAGATTCCCTTTCCTGTGTCCTTCTTTGAGACTTGGTGCCGGCACTTCCTCCAATAGCTGGCAGAGAGCACCCTCCCCCAAAGCCTTGCTGGTCAGGGTTACCTGGATGCTGCTGACTGATGTGACATCCAGAGAAGCAGACAGGAGGAGCTTTGCAGGTCCCACCGATAAACCCCAACCCGCACACTGTCCTTAGCTTATCCCTGTGCCCTCAGAGGCTGCAAAGGTGACATCTGGCATCATCTTACAGGATGAAGGTCCCGTGTACCCTGGCTACAGCCTTTAGCAGAGACAAGGATCTCAGCACTGCCACCATCCACGCCAGTTCCACCGCTAGCTCAGACTGACCTGGCCTCAGGTTCCATAAACCCTGACTTTTAATGACTCTAGTGCTGAGACCCAGGACCCAGTGACCGTGGGATACGAGGAGCTTAGCTCAAAAGTTTAAGCAAGCGGAGTGTCCCTGTAGAGCTTGGGGACAAGTGGGGAGGAGCTGAGTGGGAGCTGGAACGTCGCAGAGTAGAAGTCATTTAGACCTTAACTTCTCGCTCTGCATCCAGTGTCCCTCCGACTTGTTCCTGCAGCAAGGCATAGGCTCGCTGCAGTGCCTGGTACTCCATCGTCAGCTGCCGGAACCTCAGCTCCGTCTCTTCCTTGGCCATACCCTAGAGAAGCACATAGGCACCACACGGGTGCCACATGTGCAAAGAAAGATACAGCATTAACCTGGGCCCCACACAGCAGCACCCCCAAACACCCAGGCTCCGCTCTTCCCAGAGAGGTATAGTGACTACTCTTTCTAAGAAGTGTGTTTGAGGGAGTCTTCAGCCTGTGGGGAAGAGTACTAGTTGGGACCTGGTGCTGCTTGAAGGGACATTTTCCTGGGAGGTGACCCTTGGCTACTGGGGTAGGTGGCTGAACTGGCCATGATGACGCCAGAATAAGCCTCATTGGTTGGTAGTCAGTGACCAGGGGCTCATCTGGAACTCCTGTTTGCCCTGACCCTGAGGGTTCCTTATGACATAAAAGGCTCCCCTACAGCTCTGCTGGCAGAACTGTGTCATGAGAAGTACACTGAGCTTTGGGAATGGAGTACAGGGTCTCAGGTAGTACAGCCCCTACAGTCCTATGTTAAGATTGTTCACCTCGGCCTCACACCGGTAGAATCACCCCTGGATATGTGCTTCTCTGCCACAGCTAGAGAGCAGATGCAAAAGGGTCTGCTGTCACCTTAAGAGTTCTGGTGTCCCTCAGTTTGGAGAGTAGGCCACTATCTAGGAGTTACCGAGTCTGTCTTCTCTCCCTATCCTCCACCTGTTCCCTAGCTTAGATTTCTAATAGAGTCCAAAGCCTTGGAGCCACACTCCAGCATCTACCAGGGCAGGCCATGCATAATAGCCTGGACCCAGTTAAGTTGTGAACCACATTCCTGCCCAGCACTGCTAGAGCAGTCCCCACAAGGACAAATCCTGATTCTCAGGACTGGGAGCTGAGATGACTGCTGAACTTGAAGGGGACATCACTCTGGCAGGAGGGTGTAGCCAGACAGGACACTTGGCCTGTTATTATACACTAAAAGGCTCTGCTCAGAACACTGAGGCCATGATGTGCCTTGAAATGGTGCTGGCCTCTTGCTTGGAGGTCCAGACTTTCCTAGGAAGCCTTTGAAGAGAGTGGAGAGCCCTCTGCAACCACACAAGGGGCTCTAACTGCATGGAGGGAGGAAGTATGACCAGACACTGGAGGCAAAGATCCGCATGCCCAAGCAATGTAAATGATATTCCTCACTGTGCAAAGAGAGGACTGCCAGGGGCAAGCCTGATGATCCAAAGGGAGCAGCATTCACATGAGACCTCCACCCTATCCCTTGCCCCACCCAACTCAATGCGCCACCAACTCCCGAGGAACTCTGTGGGAGACCCAAAATACCTCTTCCAGGTCATCTTCTGGGGTGCATGGGGTCTGGTCTGTCCTGTCAGTCTGATAAGAAATGGAAGAGCCATCGGATTCCAGGGAAGCTTCTTCATCATATCCAAAGAAGGTCTCCACAACAACCGGCTTCTGAGCCAAATGCAATGCGTCAATGCGAACCCAAGCCAGGCGGGGCTGGCAGCCCTAGGCCAACTCCCGCCTCCTCTTCCTGTCGCCCAGGTGTGGGGTCATGGCTAAGTAGCTATCCCCCACAATGGGCAGCCCCAGTGCCATCCACCCCCTCTGTTTGCTGTCCTCCTTCAGGAAGGGCCAGGTCTGCCTCCCACGGGCCAAGATGGAGGTCTGGGCATTATTAGCCAGCTTGGTTTTCCTGGAGAAAGGACGGTGGAGGGCGGATGGGGAAGTGGCCATGGTCCCTAGATAAATGGTTTCTGGACTTGACCTTCATGCTGCTGAAGTCATCCAGAGTGGATAGTGAGTTTCACAACACTGAGCATTCACTCTGCAGCCACACATCTCTGTTATATCTGTCCTTGACAGACTGGACAAAAGCCAAGCAAAGCCAGGTCCTCTACCAGCTAAGCTTGAGAAACTCTTACAAGGTCCAGAAAGGCCCTCATCTTCTTTTGACCACATCAGGCTCTCCTCCTTCCTCAACTAATTCTGAACTAGTGGTTGGCCTTTGTGAACTTGGGTCTCTCTGTTGGTCCCTCCTCCAGAACCTTCCAGGAAAGCTTGAATCTGGGACTAGGAACACCAGATACCCTCACAGACTATATTTTCTAGCCCCTGTCCTCATGTCCCTTCCCAGGTACCCACATCTTCCTCCTGCTTAGCAGTGCTCTGAGATTTTCTCCAGTGAGCTGACCGCTACCCTGCCTTTCTAGCTGAATGACCATCGAACACTTGCTTAGTGGAATCCTGCCCTTTCAGAAGGATTTCCCTGTGCCCCAACTTTTTTCCTGTACCCCAGTCTTTCACAGGCTTCTCCATAGAAACACAGAAAACATGTAAGCCAAATAAACACAAACTTGAAGCAATTTCATCAAACCTCAGTCCCTCTGATCTCTGATTACTAAACATAAATCACACAGGTGGCCTGGCTCCTCCTGTCACACTGCCACATTGTCATCCTTTCTCTGAAGGCCTCCACTCTCACACACACCACCTCAACTCCTGCTGTCCCGCTCTGCGGGTGCTGCGAGATCGTCTGTGCGGCAGCCCGCCAGCCCCCGGTGTTCCGGCTTTTCACTGGCCAGCGCCCACTACACAGTGGTGTCTGCTGCCTGCCCCAGGCCCCCTGTCCTCCAGACCTTTGGATTCTGACCTCCCTCCTCTAGAACACTGAGGCCACAGTGCGATGTCTTGGTGCCACAGGTCCCAGGTGTATCCAGTGCCTAACTGTTGAACTCAGCTGGCTGCACACACCGCTGGGTGCGCACTGACACTGACCTTGTGAACTCATCAAACATCAACTCAGGGAAAAGTCTCACTGTCTGTCTTCACAACTGTGAGACTCCCTGTCTACCCCCAGTCACACTTTACCTAAATAATAGATATTTCTGATTACAGACTTAACACCGCTGTGGGGTTGGAGTGATAAAGACAGCCAGGGCCTCTTTCTAACCCAGTGAGTATATCAGTACTGTCTGTGGATGGGGAGAGGGATTGGGGAGGAGCTGGAGCAGGGAGGGGGGGTTGATATGATCAAAATACATTGTATAAATGTATAAAATTCTCAAAGAATGGATGAAAATTCTAAAACTAGCCAGGGCAACAAACAAAACAAAACAAAAACCCTAGAACACACTCCCAACTATGTCCCTGCAACCCTCAGAAAAGCAGGGTTCTTCTCTCCAAGGCAGGTTGGCCTGATCTCAGTTGACAAAATTTAAAATGATAAACAGAGGATTTACTTTGAGTCCTACATGGGTTATTACAGAGTGACTCTTTTTTAATAAAAGTCTCTCTTTCTGTGCAAAGGGAGAAACCCTCCCCTCCTAGACAGGCTTAGAGGCTTGTACTATATGCCCGAGCCATCCCCTTGTTTTACCTTGGGGAGCTTCGCCATTTTCTTTCTTTGTTTCCGATACCGCAACAGCTTATCACGCTCCTGCAAAGGCAGTTGGAGAGGTCTGGCTAGTAGTGGAATGGTTGTCTGGCAAGGGCACAAGCGTAGGTTTGCACCGCATCTTGTAGAAGGTCGTCTGGGGCATGAAGACTCCTTAAGGAGATCGTGCACACTAGCAATCCTCTGTCAGCCTGAGGCAAGTGAGCTCCCACGTACATGGGCCCTGGGCTTGCGGGAAACTGGACATTCCAGGAGGACGGATGCTCCCGGTCCCTTTTGCTCCACGGAAAGGAGCCCTTGCTTATGAAGAAATAGTTCCTGAGGCACTGACCTATGCTTGACTTTGGGAAGCTAGCCTGAGCCTTTGTGTTTTCACTGTCATGAGGATGAAGGGGGCAGCCTTTCATGTTAGTTGGGAGAAACTGGTAGGGGTGGCAAAGATGGCCTCTTGGTTCTGGCTTTTAGGGAGCAAACAGAAAAATCATTGTAGCTGGTGCTGTGTCACCTGGGGCAGCTGTTCCTATATGACCCAAGATCTGGCTCCCATGTGCCACTGCATGCTTTGGTCAGAGAGTACTATGATAAGTCTCATCCAAGAAGCCACAGCTGCTCTGTCTAGACTATAAGTGGCCATGGGCACAGAATGGGTCCACAAAACAAACATGCAGCAAGCAGGACTGTGCCCGCCGGTACTCACCAACACACTCTTCACATAGCCCGCTGTCTCCAGGGTCTAGTGGAAGAAAACACCATGTCACACAGTGGACAGGGCAGACCTTGCTCTCCAGAGACCAGAGAGAATGGCCCCCAGAATCTCTGAACTCTAAGCTCTGAACTCTAAGTCCTGTTACATGGCTGGTACAGGACTAAGGGCACTCACTCCCCAGAGGTTGGTTTGGGCCCTAACACTCCTCTTCTGAGAACTCCCAGAACCTTCCAGAATGGCAGGAATCTGTGCCACTGTTCTGCTGCCACCTTCCAAAGGGCACGGAGTGACTAGAGGCAGCTCATTCTGAAACAGCCTCACCCTGGACTCCACCAGGATTCCAACAGGAAGCAGAAGGTAGTCTGAAGATGGGGTGGAGAGTTTCGTGAAGCACAACTTACAAACCCGTGCTGTGATGTGGGGGCTGGCCAGGGACAGAGAAATGGAACCACGGGCATGGCAGCCCCCAAAAGGTGTCCACAGCTACCAAACCTGTGAATGGAACCTGATCCCCAAATAGGGTCTTTGAAGCTGTCATTAAGTAAAGATCTATACTAGATAATAAACTCAGGGACAAGGTTCCTACGAGAAACAGAAAAGGAGGAAGCCACGGTGGTATTGAGTGGAAAGATAGGACCACAGCAGAGAGCACCGGAGTCCACAGGGATGCTCAGGGGAAGGAGTGGTCCCAGCCAGAGTGTGTGCATGGAGTACAGCCATCCACTCCTTGATTTTGAACTTTTGTCCTTGGCCTCCAAAACTCAGAGTAAATAGATGGCATGTTCTTCAGCTTTCTGGCTATAGTGGTTTGGTACCAACACGGGCAGTGCCACTGGCCTTGGGCCTTGAAGCCCGCAGTGTTAGGAGACGGGAGGCAGAGAGCTGTTTAAAGAAGGTCACTTTAAGTAGTGACTGTGAAGGAGGGGGCAGCTAAGGAGACCCCACCAATGCATCCCTGCTCCCCCTCGCCCTCATTTCTGCCCTAGAGACATGAGGCAGAGAGCACAGAGAGCAGCGGGTATACAGCAGATGGTGGTATGTGGCAGCAGAGGACATGTGGGGACTTCGGGCTGGGGTGCAGACAGAGGCATGGACAGAGGATATGTGGTGAGCAGGGTACAGCTCCAGAGGGACACACGGTGTCCAGTGGGTGAACAGGATAGCAGAGGTACAGGCTCCAGAGGGCACAGGGCAGTAGGCGGCACGGCTCCAGAGTGGCAGTAGGGAGCATGACTCCAGAGGGCACAGGGCAGTAGGGGGCATGACTCCAGAGGACACAGGGCAGTAGGGGGCATGACTCCAGAGGACACAGGGCAGTAGGGGGTATGACTCCAGAGGGCACAGGGCAGTAGGCAGCACAGCTCCAGAGGACACAGTGCAGTAGGGAGCATGACTCCAGAGGGCACAGGGCACGGGACAGCAGGGCTATGCTCACCTTGGAAAGCTCATCAATGAGGTTCTGCTGCTCCACAATTTGGAGCTTTAGGAAGTCCATCTCTTTCTCATCCTGACTTTGATCCAGGTCATTTAAGGAGCTGGGTCTCCGGATGATTCCGGCTCTCTGCCTCTGAAACACCAAGCATGGTGGGCAGAGTGACTGACCCGCAGGGCAAGAAGGGAGGACCTCCCTGCCGGCCTGAGTGACAGTTCAGGTTTCCTTGCTGTGAGCAAGCACTGTTCTGCTTGGGCTTGGAGCAGCCTGCAGAAGAGCACCGGGAAACCAAGGCCTACATCTTGGTCATACACCAGGCCCAAACGAACCACCTGGACCATCTGAGGAGATGGGCTACTGACTGGAAGAGCTAATGAGATGCCTCCTATGACATCCTGTTGAGTCACTTACTCTTAATCTAACTTGCCTCATGGCCTCTGGGACTTTCAGAGCATGAAGGAACAGGCAGACAGCACTAACCACTCTGCAGTCTGGCTTAGTGGCAGAGGCAAGAGTGGAGTTTACCCTGGCGTCTAGCTTGGTACTCCTATTGCTCCCTCGTGCACAGGACTTCCGGGACTATAAGCGACTTGCATGCCCTCTGGGTTAGAGGAAGACAGAAATCATGAGGAGCTAGCTTCCTAGCTCTACCAGGCAACTGTTTCTGCAGACCTAGCAGGCACTCACCATCTCTATGTTCTCCTGGGTAACGAATTTCAGCTTGCTTTCTATGCGCCGCAGAGTGTGGGACAAGTCCTCATTTTTCCGAGTAAGACGTTTGTTTTTATCCAGCAATGGCTTGTACTGACTTTCGGCTTCTCTCAACCGCTTTAGCTGGAACAATATTTATTACATAATGTGACCTTTTACGTGATGTAGAACTGACAAAGACAGCAAACTGACCAGTCAGAGCTCTGTGTCTTGGGGGGTGGGTTGGTGGGGCATGTGGATATGCTGAGGATCCCCAACCCACAGGTGCTCAAGTCCATTGTATAAAGTAGCATGGTGTTTGCATGGAGACTAGCACATTCCTGGTGTGTGGTACATTGTAGAATTGTTTATAACAATCTACTTATAGAGTAAATACAGTTAGTTGATGGATAATATTGTTCAAGAAAAAAAGCAGAGAGGGGGATGAAGGAAGAAAGAAAGACAGAGAGAGAGAGAGAGAGAGAGAGAGAGAGAGAGAGAGAGAGAGAGAGAGAGAGAGAGAGAGAGAGAGAGAAGAGACTTATTGTGCAGGATGAATGAAATTTTTGAAAAATATTTTTGACCCATGGCTGGCTTCACAGACACATATGAAACCTATAGATGTGGAGCCTGTCAATACATAACTGTAGATGCAGAATATGTAGATGAGGGAACCTATGGATAAAAAAATCTATAGGTGCAGAACCTGTCTGCAGATGTGAGGCCTATAGATTCAGAACCTGTAGGTGCAGAACTTTTGGGACAGAGTGCAAAATGGAAAGTTTGGCTCAGGGTGCAGGGAAAGTCCCACTGCTCCCTGCCCACTCCACACCCAGGTAAACCAGAGGCATCTCAAGGGATGGATCTCAGCTCACCTGCAGATGGAGAGAGAGGTACAGGCAATGCTCTGCTTAGCACTAAGTAAGTGGGGGCATGCTATGACCCACCATGTATTCTTGTTATAAAGTTTTATTGCAGCATGACCAAGAAGCCTTAGGGAAAGCTGTCCCTTGACACCATCACTTCTCATTTTAGAAGGAGTTCGAGCATGGGTACCACCACCTCTCCCCAGACTGCAGTCCTAAACTATGGAATACAGAGCCCCCTGCCAGCCACTCACCAGCTCATTCCTCTCCTCAGACAGCAAGGCATTGCGGTCTTCCAGTTTCCGGATGATAGCACTTAGCTCAGCGATTTTAAGTTGGAAACGCCTGGCATCCTTCTCATCCAACTGCTGTTCCTAAAACAAAAATCAACTGCAAATAACCGTTCCTAGATGCAAACCTTTGTGAACCCCAACCCAGCTGGAGACCAACACACGTCTGCATTGTGACTGCCTTTGCTTCCCAACGGCTGCTGGCAGGGCCCTCCTGGCAGAGGCACTTGGCCTGGAGCTCATGCACTACACCCAGCAAGATGGGAAAGCAAAGATGTCTGCAATATGCAAATGTGGCGGGTGAGGGTGTGCAAGTGTGGAGCCCAAGTGTGGGTGAGGGCCATGCTTCCTCTCTGCCACAGCCCAGCTGTACCTTGCAGACAGCCCTGCCAAGCAGCAAGTCACTCCCAAACGATGACATTCCTCATAGACTTTCTACAGTTGTTTTCCTGAGAAGTGGGATTCCTCAAATTGAGTTTCTAAAACTCACTTTTGGAACTATGGGGACGTTTAAAAAAATGAATGAAAATAGTATAATGCACATTTGGAATCTGGTGTTATTGCAGTGGTCTGTACAGAACCAGGGCATGCTGGGAGTTGGTTCTAACTCAGGTAAGCCATTTGTAATATGATCATAAATGATATCCTCCAAAGTCAATGACCCAAGGCTGGCTCAGCTCAAACTTCTGTCCCTGAATCAAAGAAAAGGCTGTCCAGGAAGATACTGGACATGGCTCGAATTCCTCATTCAACAGGTGCAGGAGAGGCTGGGGACCGAAGACTTAGAGGGCTAGCTAGCATTGAGGGTCTCCCAGGGTACTGCAGACCACCACAGAGAATCTGAATGAGGAGTGTGATGAAATGAATATGCTCACAGCTATACAGTTGCTGGCTTCCCCACAAGGTCACTAGCAGACTAAGAAGAAGCAGAAAGTGTCATGGTCACATGAAAAGCAGGTGGGCAGTGCCTGGTGATGCTGGTGCTTGCAACAATCACAAGAGGGGTCAAGCCAGAGACAGGGGAGGGAGAGCTGGAGCCCGTGCACAGGGGGATGGAAGGGTAGGGAAGGAGTTCATGCTTGAAGTGGGTTCTCCCCACCAACCCAGGGCAGGCCATGACCAGCAAGTGACCTTTAGCAACCTGGGGCCCAGGAGGCAACAAGATCAGTGCTTCTACTGGGCTAATGATGGAGTGGGACAATGTATCAGCCCTCTTGGTCAGAGCCAGGTAAGTTGCAGCTGGCTGTACAGTGTCTGGGGTGGGAGAACTGGCTGGGTACAGATTCTGGACTTCCCATGGAGCTGCTGCATTGGGTCATACAGCTACATGGCACTATGTGTCTGCGACTCGACTCGGGGCTGGCTGAGACGAGACCTGGGGGTGCTTACAGGGCTTCCTGAGTGGTCTGAGGCGTCTCCTGCACCGCTTGCATAAGGAAGTTCCCGTCTGGGGCTGCCTGGGTGCCGCTCAGCCTCTTTGGCCTGGGAAAGCTGCTCATCTAGAGCCTCTTTCTGGAGCTGCAGTCTCTGGGCATGCCCGGCTTGAACCCCTAACTCTCTTTCCAGCACGAAGACTGCTCTGTCTTTAAATCTTATCTCCTCCATCTACAAGGAGAACAGAACACAATCACACCGCGTAGGCAGGGTACAGATTTGCAGTTACCATAGAAACAGGCAGAGTGGCGTTAGGAGGAAAACATCCCTGGGATGGTAGCCCCACCAGTGAGTGTCTTGGGCTCTGGGACCGGAAGCAAAAGCAGACATTCTGGATGAGAGATGGGCACCCATGCTGTACAGTACCCCAGCCCTGGGCCACCCAAATCCAACTGGCTCACCCTGGCTTGGTCCCAGTGAGGAGTCCCTTCTAGAGGCCCCAGGCAACATGTGTCCTTGCACTGCCAGTCAGGGTGGCCCATCAAGAAGCCCCCATCCCTTGCTGTGCCTGTCCATGGTAATGGGCATCACTGGGCAGGGTTGAAAGACCTGCAGTTCTTGCTTCCTGACAATGGGCAAAGCAGAGATTCACCCTGACATACCCACCCCTGCTACTATAGGCGTGGTGGACATGATTCTTTTTTGGAATAGGTAGGAGGTGGACCTGGCTCTGAAGTACAGCCCAGAGCTGAACACTGCACAGCCATGCATTTCCAAGTCACATGTACTCCCTGTGAATCTTGCTGAAGGCTAAGGCTTTCAGGGTAGGGCAGGGGCAGCTGGACAAACAGACTCCGGAAGGCAACACCCACCACATCTATCCTGCCACAGCTGGGCTAGTGGTTGCCCTCCCACCTTCTCCAAGGGGCAGTGTGCTTTGTGCTCAACTTAATTATGGCAACAGGAAGCCCTCTGGGACATGGATGCTACCTGTATCCTGGGTCTCTTACTGCGGCTGCCCAAGCAAGTCCATGCTCTGCCTGAAGCTGACCCTGGATGGGAAGGGGAAGGAGAGAGCTGGGTGCTGCAAGCATCATAAGCAGCACTAGGTATATAACAGGGCAACATTGAGGGGAACCACTCAATTCAAAACAGATTTCCAAAGACAGCTTCTTTGCTTGCTGTTTAAGGTTTTAAAATGCCAACAATAAGCCAGTCTGTGCCGAAGTTAGCTGGAAATGCAGACGGATATGTAATTAGCCCAGGCCACAAATTCCAGGCAAGCCGTGGGCAGAACAAGATAAAAGAAAGTCTTACTGGCTCAATTCCTGTTCAGTGGTGAATGCCATGGTGCTTAAAGGTTGATCGGGGAAGCAGAACGACTGGGCTGGTAAACATAAAACCTTATGAAAGCAGAGCAGCTAGGTTCTGAGGCTAGGTTCTCCTCCAGCCATTCATTAACAGTCTGCTCTGGGAATCTAAACAGAAGAGCCCCTGTGCAAGCATGAGATGGCTGCCTGAGCATCTGGTTTGAGCAAAGGCAGTCCTGTGTTTGAGATCAATAGGCACAGGACACCCATGTAGAGACTGGGGACCAGGTCTCCTAAGTCTGTGGTTTTCTCACTCAGTAGTGACTTTTTGTTGTTGTTGTCATTTGTTTGTTTTTTCTTTCTTTGTTTGTTTTGTTTTGTTTTTTCGAGACAGGGTTTCTCTGTATTGCTTGGGAGCCTGTCCTGGAACTCGCTCTGTAGACCTGGCTGACCTCCAACTCACAGAGATCCCCCTGCCCCTGCCTCCGAGTGTGGGATTAAAGGCGTGTGCCACTACCGCCCAGCACTCACTCAGTGTTTTAAACTGAGCCTGTCTGAACCTTTTGTCTCCTAATCCTGCTGGGATAGCTCTACAAGCCTTCATGGGATGAGAGTATGTATCTGCAGTATGCCAGGTGCTTCCCAGTCTAGGGCACTGTGCCTAGCAGGATGGCCCCTCACTCATGGCAGGCATTACTGTATGCACTGAACCACAAAGGACAGGACACCCCAGCAAACAGCACAGGGTTCCTGACCACATTTATACTGGTGCTAACCAAGTATGACTTGTGTCATTACAGGGGCTCCTAGGCCAATGCTGCCCCTCCCTCCTTCCTTCTCTCCCCTTCTCCGATATAGTTTTTTGGTCCACAGGGCAGGCTAGCTTCCTTCGGGTCCACACCTGTCCTTACATCTGGCAAGTAACCTTCCTGTGAGTCTAAACTAAGGGGTTTCTAGTGCATGTCCCCACTCCTGAACCTAGGAAGTCCCAGTAAACCTGGAGGAACAGGTCATTTATGCTACTGTCTCTCCTTGATGCCTGTGACAGCTTCCTGATACCGCACACCGGTATTCAGGAGGATGCTTGTCCAGGACTTACAGTGCCTCAGATCCTGACTCAAAGAATGTGCTCATTAGAATGCTCCCCCTTCGTGGACTGAACAGCTCTGTATCAGAACCTCTTGGAACCCTGTCAACAGGCAGATCTCCACCCTCAGGCACAGAGGTAGAGCTTAGGGCACCTCCCCTGCTCCCCTGTTGGCTGACACAGCTGGCAGTAAAGATGATCTACCTCTGCCCTGAGACTCATTCCTCCATTTATTCCCCCAAAATGGCCACCAGGCATGCCTACCGCTCAGGGCACACCTCCCACTGTGGTGGGTGCCCCCCCCACCTGTGGCTGCTTCCATCTGAGTTAACCATGACTCCGTTGCTAGGACAGGCACCTGCTACCCAGTGCTTCTCACTGACGACAGAGGGCGCTCACACCATCTGTCTTCTTGCAGTAGCTCTCTGGGTTCTGCGGATGACCCCAAGCAGATAAACATGCCTACTGCACCAGCAAATGCTGCTGTTCAGCAGGGTGTGTGGGAGTTGAGGAAGGACACAGTGCTTTGTAGTGGGGCTCATTTCCCTAAAAGCTGGTCCTGGAAGGGCTTAGTCAGGTGGTGAGAATCGGGAAGAACCCTTGAGGGTTGAGGGTGAGAAGAGAAATGCTGACCAGATGGAGAGCCTGGCGGTGGCCCAGGTGCAGCCTAGACAGCAGAGGGTATGGAGGGACTGGCCGAGCTGGAGCTGGGGATGCTAGAATAACAGTTAATGCAGCTTCAAGTTATCCTCAGAGACACTCTGGGAGTAGGTATGCTGAGAGAAAATAAGGCTTTGCACATGCCCCACCCTCAATGATCCAGAGACACAGGAGGATTCGCAGCATGGTGAAGAACTTGCCACAAGTTACTAAGAACTTGAATAGGGACAGAATGTTCAGGTACCCACAGTCTTGTGGCAGTTTTTCAACAGAATGACAATGGTGGATCCCACTAGAATTGTCTAGAAAAGTCCTTTGAAATGTTAGTTCCAGACATGGAGGTGAAGTTGGCACTATAGTTAGCCTTGCGCAGTCAGCAACTCTGTGTACTAAACAAGCACACAGTACAAGGGTGGGATGCTGGAGGCAGGAAAACACATGGGAGTCTTGGCCCAGCCTGTCCCAGGGGGTCTCCCTCCGGGAAACAGCTAACCTTGGTGAGTGGGGTGGGCATTTGACCAGAGGCTGAAATGGCTGCTGCAGAATCCACACACTGCACACTGCACCATAAGCAAGAACTTCAGGGTAACAAGGGTGAAACAGATCTACTCTAAAACCCAACCAGACCCAGAAGGAAACTGCACAGCTATAACAACATTTTTCGCCAGTGTCCAGGATGTGCCAAATGGCAACACTTGCTGGAAAACGTGGAGGAGTAGCAACCATGGAGATAAATCAGATGTAAAGGCAGGCCCAGAGATGAATGAGACATTAAAATTAGCGGGACAGAACCTGAAAAAATAATTGTTAAAATTTCTTTGTTGGGGATGGAGAGATTGTTCAGTGGTTAGCAGCACTGACTGTTCTTCCAGAGGACCCTGGTTCAATACCCAGCATCCACACAGCAGCTCACAACTGTCTGTAAATCCAGTTCTGGGGTATCTGGCATCCTCACACAGACATGCAGGCAAACACCAATGCATATAAAATAAAGATAAACAAAGTTTTAAAAAATGTTTTTCTTGCCAAGTGTGAGGGCATACATTGGTAATCCTAGTAGCTGGAATGTATCGAAGTCATCCTCAGAAGTATAACAAAGCTACAGGAAGCCTGGGCAATGTGAGACCCTATCTCAAAAAAAAGTCTATAGAGGTGGTTTGTGTAAGAAGATGTGCTGTATATGCTTGAGAACCTGAATTTTGATCCCCAGCATGATGCAAAAAGTTGGGTGTGGCTGTGTACACCTGTAACCCCAGTGTTGTGGAGAACAAAGACAGGATTGCTGGGGTTTGCTGGCTTTCAGCGTGTCTCCAGATTCAGTGGGCAACCTTGTCTCAAGGAAATGGTGTGCAATGTAATACAACTAGGTATCTGACATCCATCCTCTTGCTGCCTCCATGTGCATTCAAGGGCACATGTACCCATGCACACACGTGTACATGCAGCATACACAGTACACTCATGCACATGTCTGTACATGCAGCACACACAATATACACATGTACACATGTGTACATGCAGCACACACAGTATACTCATGCACACATGTATACATGCAGCCACACAGTACATTCATGCATATGCAAATATAAATTTAAGTCACATATAAGTATTTGACTAGAGATAGAAAATGGTAAAATACAGTTCAGTTGAGAATTGTAATCTATAAAAACATTCAGTATCTGAACTGTGGATTTTACTAGTGTAATTGGATGCAATAGAATCACAAACCCAGGATAAAAAATCATGGTAATATCCAGGAGGTAAGGAAGGAAAAGAATTGCTTATGAAGGAGTGGGGCGGGGGCTGGAGAGATGACTCAATGGTAAGAGCACCGGCTGCTCTTGCAGAGGACTCGTGTTCAGTTCCCAGCACCCACACGGCAGCTGTCTGTAACTCCAGTTCCAGGGTTTCTGACAGCCTTACACAGACATACATGCAGGCAAAACACCAATGAACATAAAGTAAAACTAAATTACATTTAGGAAGGAGTGGGTATAGTTAAGATATCCAATACACGTGAGTGGACAGACAGGGAAGGGGAAGAACTATCTTCCTACATAATGGTAAAGAATTTCTCAAACCCACTAAAAGTGATCATTTCAGATTCAAGAAGATCTACTGGCCCTCAGTAGGGGAGGTGAGGAGTAGTGGAGAAGGGGGGAAGAGGAGGA